CTGTGATCCAAGCCTGGATCTCAGCCTTCATGAGTTTCCCTTTTAAATCTTAAATAGCTTTGCCTTCATGATTGACCCCTGTAAACTTCTCATAGAAAAGCAGAAGTCTTGCTGGTCCGAAGATAAGGCCAATGAAATGGAAAAGTTGGGTAGATTCAGAATATATTTTAAAAATTGGACAGTTCTTTCTGATGCATTAGGCATGGGGAATGAAAGGTTAGGAGGAATCTAGGAAGATTCCTGGCTTTCTGACCTGATGGGTAGGCTATAGTAACACCAAGATGGATTTGCCCAAAACTTTATCCTAGTCTTTTCCCAAGGTTTTTTTTTTTTTTTTTTTTTTTTTGGCATCTGAACCAAACCTGAGATGCCTTTTTTGGCACCCACATGAAAATGTGATATAAATGCTTGGACATGAGTTAGGAGCTCAGGGCAGTAATTAGAGCAAGAATAAACAGGGAAAGACGTGTTTAATGTCATTCATGGGCATGTGGGGGAGCTCTCTTAGAGCTGCAGATTGACTTCAAATCTTCAGGAAATTGGCCCAGGGATAGTTTTTGAAAATAGCAGGTGGCAATTATGTGGTTACAACCAATTTTATGTGCGGGAGCAGAAATTCTCACTTCACTCATTAGCCAAAGATCCTGGATTGCTTTATAAACTTGAGGAAATGGCAGGGAAATTCTCCCTTAGAAGCAAAGGGGGAATGCTCAGGGTTGAAGGAGCACACACTCCCCCAAAGAGAACATAAATGTCAAGATACAAGATGAGTTCCCTAGCTCCCACTGGACCTTCTACACGTGGTGCTTGATTTAGGGTGATAGAACCAAGAGACTGGTGGTTCTAGTAAAGTAAAATCTAGCTGGGTCATCAACTGTTTTCTTCATGTTGGTTAAGAGAGAGACCTCAGGGCTTGAACAAGCCCAGTGTGAAGTTCTTTATTGGTTTAAAAAAGAGTCCAGCCCTGGCCGGTTTGGCTCAGTGGATAGAGCGCTGGCCTGCAGACTGAAGGCTCCCAGGTTCGATTCCGGCCAGGGGCACATGCCCAGATTATGGGCTCATCTCTGGTAGGGGGGCATGCAGGAGACAGCCAGTCAGTGATTGTCATCATTTATGTTTCTCTCTTTCTCTCTCTCTCTCTTCCTTCCTCTCTGAAATCAATAAAAGAGTCCAACTGATGCCCATATTTGGATAGCCCAAGAACATTCCTCCAAGAAAGAACTATCCTGAGAGTGACAGGTAGAAAAGCAAAAGGTCCACAGGGCCAGACTGGGACAAGGTGCTATGATTTGTACGAAATAACAAGTCAGATTTTCCTTGTGTGCCTCTTTCTTCCCTATGAAAATGGCCATGTTGAAGACCCACCTCCACAATGAAACCCTTTCTACTTGTACAGCAAGTATTGTGGCTATGTATGATTTGGAGCTTGGGTTAAAGACAATAAAAGAGGCTGTGTCCTCTAAGATAAGCATCCCTGTCTCAAACACTTATTTCTGGTCTATAGCAAAGAAACTACCAGAGCATAACTCCCAAGGCTACAATTCTTGACTTCCCTGTCCCCAGCATGGACACAGGTGTAGGGTACAGTTAAATTAGCCAATAGGAACCTTGGTGGAATGGGTAAACTAGAGGCTCTGAATTCTGGATAACAGTTAATGGCATTGATAATCAGAGTAACGTATGACAGATATTTTATCTGACTTCTTGGAGAGGCAGTTAGAGTAGATGTGGTATTTATAAAAGGATGCCTTAGCCTTTCCTTCTTGAAGGCCTGCTAGCTGTCATTCTCAGGATGGTTCTTTCTGGAAGAAAGGTTCCCGAGCCTTCCATGTGTGTGCACCTGTGCCTACTCGGTTCCACCTGCTGATTAAATATTAATCGACTTCAGAGCTTGAATTAAATTAGAGCCCGAACTCCTGGAGGGTGCTCTTGAGGATCAATCTAGTATATTCACATCTTGACAATTAAAAAAAAAAAAAAAAAGCTTTGCCCCTAATATAGGTATTAAGCAGGTATTCAGTATTCTTGCAAGATTGTTAAAGAAGCTTACTATTATCTGTTAAAATGTAAAGACCCTATGCTTCTGCAAGCTGACTTGGGCCTGTAGGGATACTTCTGTGCTAGGAGTGCCTTGTCAGGTGATAAATTTCTGTGGTTTGGCACACTGCCTGGGAAATGCATACAAAGGTGTTATCAGTCCAAACATGGGCATAAAGTATAACAATTGTCAAAAAATAATAAAATAAAAATAACGTTGTCAGTTGGCTTTGGGAAATGCTGTCCAGTCCCAAAAGAGGAATTTTACATTTCTTCCAGGCGTGCGGGTCCAGCTTTCCCTTGTATCAACAGCAGTAGCAAAATCCAAGTCGTCCTCAGGCAGTGCCCGCTTCATCCATGTGTAGTGGATACAAGGCTTGATTCCCATGAACTTTAGGGAAAAGTGTTGTCAGCAGGACATCATAGGGACCAGTCCCCTGCTTGGCTAACTGCCATTCAGAACCTTAAGCCTTTGAAGTCGTTAGTAAGACTTGGTCTCCCTGTGTAAGGACTTGTCAGACAGGTAGATATAATTCTGTGATGAGAAGCCTTACGTAAAGTGGTTAGTGTTTACCCTAAATCTTACAGGTCTTGTCTGACCTTTTTATTTGTGTTCTGAACCTCATGGGGGTCGTTCTAAAACAGAAACATGGAATACTCTCCCATAAATTATTTCAAAAGGCCTCACTTTAAGCCTGCTGAGGCTGCTGCTCTAATCCAGGGCAGGCAAAAAGAAGTAATGCCTGGTCCCATTTCAAATGTGTGTTCCTGGAATTTTACCAGCGTCGTCGTTATTGTGCCTCTTTTTCTCAGTCTTCCTGTAGACGGGGGTATTCAAAATATGTGTAGTTCCCATTGAATCTGAGTGCCTGTCCTATCTTCTGAGAGATGTTTGACGTGAACGATGGTCCATAGCTCCTTTGAATGCTATAAGGAACTCTGCACCTATGAACTCTTTCCTTGAGCAAAAGTGTCAAATACTCTCACTTCTACTGGAGTATGCCTCTCCTCATCCAGAAAATATGTCTAACAAAACTAATAAGAAATTAAAGTTTCCTACGGTTTTAGGCAGCTGTGTAAAATTAAGCCTATCCCTTTATATTGTAGTCCCTTTCCTGTTGGGACATGTTCTGTTTTAGGTTTGTTTTTTGGCGCATATCTGACAGGTTTGGTACTTTTGAATAATCCTTGTAAATGTGGGCCCTTCATTCAGGTGTTGGAGGATGGGATGTATTGGAGCTTGAGGGAGTAAATCATACCATGAGTGTTGATATCTTCCATTTGAAAGGTTCGGAGTAGGCCGGGCTTGTGCACCTATGACTTGAGGCCATAATGTATCCAAAAGGATTTTATTCCTGACACTTGGATGCAGTTGGGTTGAGACCGAGAAAAGCATCAGTGAAGAGAGCAGTGAGAGGTTTTTATTAATCCTTGCTCATGCAAGCCACACTGCTGATGTAAGGGTTCTGGGTCTGGTCCGTCCTTGGTTCCTCCCATGCCAGGTGTTTTCTGATTATCTGAGCTATGCTGTGCTCAAGGCTACAGCTTTCTGCAAAGATAATCTGCTAAGCACAATAAGTTTTTCTCTGCCCTGTTCTCTTCCCTTTGACCCTTTCATTATGTAGAATTAGGGCCAGTGTTAGAGAATTAGCATTCATAAGCCCATCCTCATCTTGTTTTGTATGATGGGGTTTAACTTCTGACACGTGGGGTATTAAAGCCCTGAGTTATGGCTGACCTGGGGGGCTAGTCTTGCTGCTTGATTGGCAGTGTGATTTCCAGGGCTTGCTTGGAAACTTTTGGTGTCTTGGGCAGGGCTTTGTGGCAATCTGGTTCAGTAGAGTCACTGTCTCTAGCAATTATAAAACCTATTTTTCATGTTTGATGTCCTTATTCCCTGAGGTTGATTCCTCTTTCCTTCCATATTGCCTCAGTGGGCAGGTTTACCGTCAGTGTAGATGTTAAATTCTTTCCTTGAGATAATTCTAAAGCTCTGGTGAAACTACCAGTTCAGCTTTTTGTGCTGGGGGTTACCTTCTTAAATTTATAATTCCAAAGGTTTCTGTAAATTGGGCAATCCTAGAGTAGTTTTTCCTTCAAGGTGTCAAATGCTGTCTGACATTCTCTTGTCCATTCAAAGGGTCCAAAGACTTAATACAATGGTTTTGCTATAAGGCCAAAGTTGGGCATCCAAATTCAGCCAAACCTTGTAATCCCCAAGAATCTACAAAGCTGCCTCTGGTTCTCTGGGATTTTTATTGTGATGGCTTGTTTTTGGTCAGCCATCAAACTCCTAGTGCCCTGCTTCAGGTGGAATCCCGGGTATGCCACCTCCTGTTTGCAAATTTAGGCCTTATGAGTTGATACTTTATCTGTCCTTGTAGCCAAATGATTCAGGACTGTGGTGACATTGAGCAATCAGTCTTTGTCAGTATTGCTAGCTACTACCAGTAGTACTACAAACATAATTTTCATTGTACTTCTATTGCAATTGAAAATCGGTGTGCCAATTATCATGTTGTGAAATATCAACCAGCCAAAGCTTTGCAGTAAAAATATTAATGAGCAATGTCATAGAAGCAACAATCTTGACAAGACTTTTCAAAGGTGAAGATGTCCTTATTCCTCTAATGGCATATCCTATGCTTCCAATGGATATGCCATTTCAATTTAAGAGATTGCAATTCCCAATTCAATTGGCATTTGCAATCACCATCAACAAAGCTCAGGGCCAATCTTTAGAATTGTGCAGTTTAGATCTAGACCACAGATTGCTACTCACATGGACAATTATATGTTGTATGTTCTAGAGTCAGCAAACCAGACAATCTCTATATCTGCACAGACAATGGAACAACAAAAATAGACTTCTCCCTCGGATTCCTTGGTAATCTGTCAGTGGGAGGTCCTTGTTCCTGATCCCTCTCATTTCTCAGCTCCTCCGAGCCCTACAAGTCTCAGCTATGTGTGAGTACATCTCCATCCATGTTGGCCAGGCTGGTGTCCAGATCGGCAATGCCTGCTGGGAGCTTTACTGCCTGGAACAAGGCATCCAGCCCGATGGCCAGATGCCAAGTGACAAGACCATTGGTGTGGAAGATGACTCCTTCAACACCTTCTTCAGTGAGACAGGCGCTGGCAAGCATGTGCCCAGGGCAGTGTTTGTAGACCTGGAACCCACAGTCATTGATGAAGTTCGCACTGGTACCTACCGCCAGCTCTTCCACCCACAGGCAAGGAAGATGCTGCCAATAACTATGCCCGTGGACACTACACCATTGGCAAGGAGAACATTGACCTCGTCCTTGACCGAATTCGGAAACTGGCTGACCAGTGCCCAGGCCTTCAGGGCTTCTTGGTTTTCCACAGCTTTGGTGGGGGAACTGGTTCTGGGTTCACCTCCCAGCTGATGGAACATCTCTCTTGATTATGGCAAGAAGTCCAAACTGGAGTTCTCCATTTACCCAGCCTCCCAGGTCCCCACAGCTGTAGTTGAGCCCTACAACTCCATCCTCACCACCCACACCACCCTGGAGCATTCTGATTGTGTCTTCATGGTTGACATCTATGATATCTGTCGTAGAAACCTCGATATTGAGTGTCCAACCTACACTAACCTTAACTGCCTTTTTAGCCAGATTGTGTCCTCCACTGCATCCCTTAGGTTTGATGGGGCCCTGAATGTTGATCTGACTGAATTCCAGGCTAACCTGGTGCCCTATCCCTGCATCCACTTCCCACTGGCCACATATGCCCCCGTCATCTCTGCTGAGAAAGCCTACCATGAGGAGCTCACTGTAGTAGAAATCACCAATGTGTGCTTTGAGCCAGCCAACCAGATGATGAAATGTGACCCACGCCATGGTAAATACATGGCTTGCTGCCTTTTGTACCGTGATGATGTGGTCCCCAAAGATGTCAATGCTGCCATTGGCACCATCAAGATCAAGCGCAGCATCCAGTTTGTGGACTGGTGCCCCACCGGCTTCAAGTTGGCATTAATTACCAGCCCCCCACTGTGGTCTCTGGTGGAGACCTGGCCAAAGTGCAGCGAGCGGTGTTCATGCTGAGCAACCCCACAGCTATTGCTGAGGCCTGGGCCCGCCTGGACCACAAGTTTGACCTGATGTATGCCAAGCGTGCCTTTGTCCACTGGTACGTGGGTGAGGGCATGGAGGAAGTACTAACCAGGCCCAACCCTGCTTAGCTTCCGAGATTAGATGAGATCGGGCGCGTTCAGGGTGGTATGGCCGTAGACGGAAGGAGAGTTTTCTGAGGCCTGTGAGGACATGGCTGCCCTGGAGAAGGATTATGAGGAGGTTGGAGCAGATAGTATTGAAGGAGAGGATGAGGGTGAGGAGTACTAACCTGTCAGCTGTGATGTCACACTCCAGTGTCTTGGAATTGTCTTATGTCTGTTGTTCTGTGAAGTCTTATTGTGTCCTAAATTTTGCAATAAAGTTTTCATTTTGAATGTAAAAAAAAAATATTGTATACCCACAAGCATTGTGAAATTAAACATATTAGAAATGTGTGCTTTCTCTTTTCTAGTTAACCAGACTGAGCCATAGCAACATGTGGCCGGCTACAGCTAGTAGTCAGTAACAGTCTTATAAAAATTCAGTAGTTGCCTTGCTGGTGTAGCTCAATTGGTTGAGTGTCATCCTGTGCACCCAGAGGTCAACTGTTTGATTCCCAGTCAGGGCACATGCCCAAATTTGGGCTCTATCCCCATTCAGGGATGTGCAGGCTAACCGCTGCTTCTTTCTTTCTGCCTCCCCCTTCCTCTCTCTAAAGTCAATAATATAATATAAAGTCAATAATATAACAAAAATGTGTGTGTGTGTGTGTGTGTGTGTGTGTGTGTGTGTGTTCAAAGTTAGCCTTTATGTATAAGTTGAGGTATAACTTGCAGAATATGTGGTTAACTTTTCCATATGAATATCTACTTGTTTTTGTAATGTTTAATATAAAAGTATATTCTCTCTCCGTTGAATTGTCAGTGCCTTGTTAAAGACTGAACACATGTGTGGAGCCTATTTCTGCACTCCATATTCTACTGATGTACTCAGGAAGGGACTCAATGCTTAGGCACAAGGAGTGTGGCTATCTGACATTCTCCAAATATTAGCTATTCAGAGTCATTTTTTCAGAGTTGCCCCCAATCCTGATTGTACCACCACCAGCTATTTTTGTTCAATTTGGCCTCCCTTCTTAAGCAAACTTTCTCCACTTCAGAGACTTTGTCAGGTCTACATCGTAAAATGATAACTTTCCCTCCCCTAACTTCCCTCCCTATTTCTGTACAGGTATTATACTCCCTCAAAAGCTTTGCATTCCCAACTCTTTCTCAGCATCTGCTTCCCAGAAAGCCTAACCTGACAAATCTCACATGTCAATACCACACAACCTTGATTATTGTTGCCTTATTAAGTCTTTTTTTAAATAAAAATTAAGTTTTATTTTAAAAGGTAAAAATTTATACATCCTTATAAAAGAAGTGATAACATTTTCACCAATGTAAAACATCACAGAATTCAAGTCACAGTTTGGATCTTCAAGATTCAAATGTTGTATCCCATTAAGTAAAATGTGGTCAGTTTTAAGATAGAAATGCTTCCTCTGGATATCCTGTTCTCAGTCACTGCTTTCTTTATCTTTATCACACAGTAGGATAGTTGGCTGCGTTGGTGATTCCACAGTGGTTGTCCCAGACTTTAGCCATCTTTATGTAGCCCTTCTTGCCCCAAGCTTCACCCCAGCTATTCTTGACAATCCAACATTTATTGTTACTTGAGTCTTCTCCTTCAAAGCCATAGCCAACCCCCAGAACGCCATGATCTAGATCCACACTGCTGCAGTGTCGCTCATCATAAATGCCATCTTCATAGAACTGGAAGCTAAGATGGCTTGCATCTATAGCAACATAGATGGGCCCCATGGTTGCCACCGCCTTCATGAGGGCACTCTCTGCTCAAGGATGTCCACGAAACCAGTGACACTGGCCACAGAATCCTTGGGCCTATATTTGCAGGGTCCGACCTTTGCTTGATATGGATAGGACTCCTCTGAGTCCAGGCGTTGGACTTCACATACTGGAAGGCATTATCCATTAGGCCACCATCGCAGCCGTCATTGCCTTGAGCCTGAGAGCAATCCACAAGCTTCTGCTCACTCAATGAGATAAGTTTGCCAGTTTTCCGAACAGCTGTCCTTCAAGGGCACCAGTTGCACTAAATGCCCAACAAGAACCACAATGACCCTGGTTCTTCACGGGGGCTACATAGCCTTCTTCCCTCCAATCCACGGCTGGGGGGATTTCAGCAGCGTAAGGTTCCTGGAACACTCTCCTCTTGGGCTTCTGGTTCTGGTGGCCATTCATCACCTGTATGAACTCTTCATTGGCCATGTCACCAAAAGCATTCATTGCCAATGTGAAGCTCTGTCTCCCTAGGTTGTATTCTTGGTTGTACAGGTTGATCATTTTCATATTCTTCTCCCACACTGATCTTCTCCATCCTTCTTCATACGAGCCATATAGTTTTCTGTACGTTGCCTTCCACCGGTGCCAGGTGCCTCTAAACTTCCAACAAGTTTTGGACCAGCTGAAGCTATTGCTAAGTAAAGGGAAATCAAGAAGAATGAAGGATTCATGTTTCAACACCTTCAGATGGCGCAGGTCCTGGATCTCTGACCCCTTATTAAGTCTTGAAATCAGATGCTAAAAGATTAACTTTGTTCTTCCATATTAAAATTGCTTTGGCTGTTCTATTTCCATTTCAATATGAATTTTAGGATGTCAATTACTATAGGAAAATGCTGCTGGTATTTTGATTGGTATTGTGTTGATAATATAAATCAATGGGGCAGAATGGGCATCTGTTTAACAATGTGAATTACCCATCCATAAATGACATATTACTCCTCTTAGATCCTTGTATCTCAACAATATTTTAGATATATACTTTTATGATACTTTATTAAGAAATTGAGAACAAATCCATTGAAGATAAGGCCTTAAGTCTGCCAATGTTAACTCAGCTTTCCCTACCTCAGTGCCCTAGGTAGTCCATTGAAAGGCTTAAATAGATGCCTCTAAAAAAGGAAGAGCAGTAACCCAGTGATCGAGAACAATCGGCAGCCACTAGGACTACATGTTAATGAGACAAAGTGAGGATATGATGTCCAAGAGCCCAGGAATCTGGGCGTACATGAAGGCTGCCTGGCAGAAGAAGGCAACAGGGAGTCACTGTGAGATGGTGCTTAAGTTGAGAGACAAGGTAAATACTCGAGCTTCTGTTTCTCCACTGTCCAATATCACGTAAGTGTGGGTCACGGGGTGAGCCTTGCCAGGATCTTTTCGGCAAATATAATCGTTATCTATTGCCGCATAAGGACTTTATTATGAACTTTGCAGCCTGAGTCAACACACATTATCTCAATTGCTATGGGTCAAGAATCCAGGCGCAGCTTAACTAAATGGAACCTTGGCTTCAGGGTTTCAATCAAGGTCTTGGCTGGGCTGCATTCTCATCTGGAGGCTTTGCTGGGGAAGAATCTATTTCTAACTCAGATGCTTGTTAGTAAAACACAATTTCTTGAGGTCAAGACCTCGATTTCCAGGGGTTTCCCTAACATCTTTGCCATTTGGGTTCCCCCAACACAGATGCCTGCTTCATTAAGGCCCAAAGGGAAATTACTACCTTCATCTTGTGTAAGATAAGCATGGACATGGGAGGGTGCTAGGCAGAGATCAGTGATCTTGAGGGCTGTCTTAGAGATGGTCCTTCACAGCAGGGCCTGTGAAAAGGGGAAGGCAAAAGGTCTGAGAATAAAACAGCTGACTTGCATGAGCCTGCTCACTTAAGTATCAAACATTAAATGATATAAACTGGGACTATTGTAGCCCATCCGATTTCCTTTTCGCTCCTTATCCTTGATTCTTTACTCCCATTCCTACCTGTCCATTAGATAAACCCTCTGTATCAAATGTCTAAAAATATGCATTTATCCTTGGGTAATATAAAATTTATATGTACTTCTCATTTATATAAAAGATATTACGCTATAGATCTTTCATTTTTTACTTAACACTCCAAGATTGGTGGTGGTTGTTATGCCGCATGTAGTTTATGGTTTCCAACTTCAGTAATTTTACTTTTCATTTTCTGTAATGAACATTTAGGTTCTTTGCCAATTTTTTTCAACACCAAAATGAATATTCTGGAATATTTATGAATCTGTGAGAAGACTCTGGGATACATCCAGGAATGTGACTGTTGGCTTACATTTCTTCATTGCCTCTATGATTTTCTTAGAGTAGAGGAGCTCTGTGCTAAATTGATAATTATACATTGAACTTTATACCCTATTAACAGAGTATACATTTTCTAAGCAGCCATAAAAGACTAATAAAAAAAGATTGTATGTCAGGCCAGAGAACCTTAAATTTCAAAGAGCAGAAATTACATTGTCACAAGAGAATATAGCATACACAACGGAAATGGAAAACAATTTCCCCTGCCCTTGCAATTAAAAGTGCTCTGCTTCTAGCTACTGAATCAAAGAATAAATCAAATATCAGAAGTAAACTTACAGCTTTAGATAATATTTTAAACATGCTTTTAAAATATTATGACATTTAAGTATAACTATAGCTTTAGCCAAATTCCATAAATATTTTTGAGATCAATAAGAAAAGTAATAAAAACAGAAATTAATACATTACAACACAGTGCTGATAAAGAACTGGCCCTTCTAGGTACTGGGTTGTGCCGGGAAATAGACTTCCACTGGCTTTTTTCTCAGTTATGGGGTACATATGTGTGAATAATAAATGATGGGATTCAGATCACGAGACTTGGCCTTTACCTCGCCATTTAGCTTTGGACAAACTATTTTTAATCTCACTATCTCTAAGCTAAAATGAAACTTGGTGATGGGGGCACATGGGAGGGGTAGGTTTTACTACATAAAGTTAAGTAAAATACTAGCTCTCGTTTTGACTTTGAGACTCATGAGCCCATGTGTGTGAGCTTATGGATGTCAGGAGGCCTGAGCAACTAAGTCTATCTTGTTTGGTACAGGTCCCTCCCAACTCCCCGTCTTTAAGCCTGAAACACACAGTGCTATCTCTGTACCTGTCCCCAGGGGGAGGCAGAAAAGGGGTGTCAATGGCAGGGCTGTCACCCACCACAACTAGGGTTTCTGTGTCAGGGGTCTCTTAGAGAGCAGTGTCTTGAATCTAACTCCTTTTAATCTCCTCACTTTAAGCATGGCTATGCTGCAGTTTATGAACTCTCTCATTCTAAAACATTAATATCCTAATATATAAAAGAGCTAGGTGCCCTCACGACTGAACAAACGACCAGTCCCTGCCTCCCCCCCTCCCAGCCTTTTCCCCTCTGCCCCTGAATCACTCACCATGAGAGGGGAGTGGTGGTGGGCGGGACTGGAGACTGTTGAGTGGCAGCAGCAGTGGTGGTGGAGGTGGGCTGCTTTGCTGTGCAGCAGCAAGCTTAGCATAGCAGTGGCAGGATGGCGTGTTTCATGAAGAAGTCATCAGGCAGCAGCGGTCACGGGGTGGGGGAGTTTCACTGAGCATCCAGCAGCCAAGTTTCATGGAGCAGTTGTGGGGTGGGTGGTGGGGTAGGAGCAATTTTGTGGAGCATGGCAGGGCGGGAAGAGCCTCACAGAGCAGTCAGAGGGCCACCAGCATCCCAGGGCAGGGAGCTTCATGTAGCATCACAGGGCGGCAGAGCCCAGCAAGAGAGGCCAGGCTAGGCGTAGGGACCCTAACCATGCACGATTTCATGTGCAATGGGCCTCTAGTATGAGATAAAAATAATAGGGATGTTTTTAGCATGTACTCAGTTTACGCCACTTTGAACTTGAAATATGATTATAGCTACAAGTATTTTTTCCTGTTCTAATGTTAACATTATTCTTAATTTGATGAACAATATTATGATTGTGAAAAGTGGTGGTAATAAGGGTAATGCCATTTTTTCCCCCTAACTAAATTAGATGCTTCTAATAGCTCTTTATTAAATGTGATGTTTGCCGTAAGCCTTTGGAGAATTCCCTGTACCGCATTACAGATGTTTCCTTTTATCCCTACCTTGACAAAAATCACCCATTTACAAAAGTTTGCAGATGCTTTTTTAAAATGAGATAATGTGTGTCCCCCCCCCCTCCTTTAACATGTTAATGCAGTGAGGTATTGATACCCTCCCCACAAATATTGATCTATCCTTACATTTCTGAGACAAATCCTACTTAATCCCTATACATTATTCTTCTAACACATTGCCATATCTGATGGTTCAATATTCTTAGACTCCTTGCATCTCTGTGAAGGTTGACATAAAGCTTTCCTTTTCCATTCTCCATGGTGTCAACTAAGGTACCTTGGTAAACGTAGGAGGCAATCGTCCTCTTTATTTTGGCATTTTCTTTGTTTCAGGTCTTTTCTGTCAGCTCCCCAAACTCTTTCTCCGTTCCCAGATGCTGAGCTGAATGGCCTTCACCTTTCAGTCACCCAGGCCCTCCCGTCTCCTGGCTTGGTACCATCATGGGAAACATTGGCAAGAAATCGGAAGAAAGGTCCACCAGGATGCAGGTTACAGCTTCTCCCTGGTTAGCACCCTCCCCAGTATGCTTCCCCTACACACGGCCAGTGCCGTGAGCAGACTCCTTGGCAGAAAAACCCTCCTCACACTCTACACTGAGTGAGCCGTTTGCCTCCTGTAGGGCTTGGGCTGATATAACCCGGCACCCTGGCATGCTTTAGTGTTTTCATTGGTGCCAGTCAGTGCTTCTGTAATCTGGTGTTTAACTTCCATCTCCTGGTCAGTAGTGTCCTTGACCATCTTCATGATGACTAGTTATTTCTGTTTATGTGAAATCTGTGTGCCACTTGCTATTGAGGTTCCCCTCCCTCCCTTTCTTAATGATTTATAGGAATTTATCCTATAACCTAAACACTAGTCTCTTTTTTTGTTTTGTTTATATGGTACAAATATTTTTCTCCTAATTTACAATGTATTTTCCATCTGTGATGCCTCCTTAGTTCTTTAATATAGCAAAAATTAATCAATACTTTTTTAATGTGTACTTTTTACATACCAAAGAATTTCTTCTGTGCTACCTCAAAAGCCATAAAACAATTTTAGAAGAAAACAGAATAAGCTGGCTTGACACCTACATTTTTAATATATCTGGAATTGAAATACTTTTTGCACATGGTGAGCAGTGGTGTGCAACTCAAGTTTTTCCCCCATATAAATAATTTTCTGCCCTCAACTCATTTTTTGAGACACTCATTTCATATCCCACCCCTTCTTGCTCTGAGGGAGTAGTTGTGTCATTTTAGACTTCTGTGTACTTGAGTCTATTCCGGGTTCTTTGTTCAAACATTCATTAGCCTTCATTCAGATATAAACCTTCAGAGACTGGGCCCGTACCCTGTATTTTTTTTCAGCAGTGATT